AAAAATAAATAAACATTAAAAAATTAAAAAAAAAAGAGATCAGTGTAATATATTAGTGTAAAAAGTGGTAGAATACAGCTATCCTTCCTCTCGGTAAATATCCAAAAGAATTGAAAGCAGGATCTCAAAGAACTATTTCTACACCCATAGACATATATTGGAAGATTCCACTTACATGAAGTATCTAAAGTAGTCAAATTTATAGAAACAGAAAGTAGAATGGTGGTTGCCAGGGACTGGGAAAGGGGGAAACGGGCAGTAGATGTTTAAGGGGTAGAAGGTTTCAGTTTTGCATGATGAGAACATTCTGGATATCCATTGCACAACAATGTGGATACTAATACTACAGAACTAAACACTTAAAAGGTAAAGATGGTAAATCTTACGGTATGTGTTTTTTTAACCAAATTTTTTAAAAAAAGAAAGAAAAGTGGCAGAATATATATTTGTATATATGTAAGTATATATGTTTTTATATATATTTATGTATATGTGTATGTGTATCCTTAAAAGAGTTAATGGTTTAAAATTTTCAAAACCCTATAAATAATTATAAAAACTGATACCTGTGGGGCCAATAGCAGCCTTTGAATGTCTGGGGAGCTGAACTCTTTCTTGGCCCAAACCCGATGCCCTGCCCTAACAGTGCTCAACTGTTCTGTTCTAGCTTCTGAATCACTACCTGCTACCCCAGAATACCAAGAATCTATGAACTGTCTGAATTTCATGCAGATATCCTCTCCCAAGGGAAATGAGAACTCTTCCCCTTCCCACCCTAAAGGTGGAAATGCCCCAAGACAATTAAGTTCATTTCACGAATAGCTGTGTTGCTAATGATCAACTTGCCTCACCTTCATTTGCAGCTCCAATTTCCCTGTTTTCAAAGTGATTTCTTTGAAGAAAGTACAGACTACCTTCCTGACCTAGGACTTTGGGAAAATAAGCGTGTAGCTGTGATAGGAAGAACCACAGGATTTGCTTTTAGAGCGGTCCTGATCTCTGGTCATTTTTGATACAACAGAGAGATAAAGAATTCTGACTCACTTTTCCTTCTTAACCAAAATTATTCAGACCATTTCTATGGTAAAATTTACTTCAGATGAAGTACTCTCCAGTGATTAGGTCATCCAATTTTTGTAGCATATTGGGAAATGACCCTCAATTTCCTGAGTATAGCAAATGGCCATCTACTGCACAAACTGCAAATATTCTCCTGGTTTCTAAACAATTTGGGTCTCCATGTGATTTATCTGTTCACAAAGAGATTTCTTATCCTCCAGTCATCTGACATGGTTTCTGCCTTGGTTTATCTTCACCTGTCACAACCTATGGCTGGATTTCTTACTTATGGTGTTTCTTCCTCCCCCTACCCCCAAGTAGGCATTTAGTTGACCGATTATAGAATCACAAGGTTGGTTATAATTCCGTTTCTCCATCTGACTTTGAACTTAAGTGTTCCAATTACTTCGCTTGATCCTAATAAGTCAGTAGCGTGCTAATGCTTGCCTTGATATTTCTGAAATATACAGGGTGTGATTAGCATGGGACTGCATCATTAGAAAGCAAAATGAAAGCGGGTGAGCAAAATCATGGCTCGCATTTAAGCAAAGCTGCCTGTTCAGTGAACTCACAATGTTACAATGATCCTAGGGACACTATATGCTATAACTAAATGTATATTGTATTTGGAAAAATCCTCTGACACTCTGGAGCCGTCTGTCTTTTGCTACTACTAGAAAAGATCCTAGAAGGATCGGCCTGGCCCAATATACAAACTTCAGAAGTCTGTTTAAGCATATATAGCTGAAGACATAAAGAATCCTTAAACCATAATAGGGTAGGGAAAAAAATAAAATGAAGAAGGAAAGAAGGAAGGAAGGAAGGAAGGAAGGAAGGAAGGAAGGAAGGAAGGAAGGAAAATCTTTAGTCAATTCTGCTGGATTGTACTAATATGTGGGGGCCATAAAACAAGAAAGCTTTATGGTAAGCCTGTTGGAAGAAAAAAAAATACCCATGCATACACACATATCAAATGGGATGCTAAAAAACTACACTAGCATCAGTGGTGCTGAGGCTATTAAAATTTTTTAATCCCTTTATATCTGTGTATAACCAGGAATAGTATAAACTTTTGGAAACTAGCAGGAAAAAAAAGGAACCAGTTTAAACTGGGAATGATATACAGCCAAATCAATTGATAAATGAAAGAAAAAAAAGATCGCACAACTGAAATTGATGCCAAAGATTTATAAGGTTGACTAAATAAACAAAAATGGAATGGATCACCATGGAAATGCATGAATATTGAAATAGGCAAGATTTGAATAGACTAATGATACGCCTCACTTAGACTGACAGGTGTTGATAACAACTCTGACACTCAATCCACACCAACATCCACACTTCTAACATGTTTATTCCTAGAAAACAGGAGCTGATTTAAAGGTTCCTTTGGTAAGAGCTTCTACAAAAAATACATTTTCTAAATCTTAAAGAGACTAACTCAATTCTCATCTACTTGAAAAACAAAAAAGGGTTTTATCTATTTGCTTTCTGGATATGAGGAGCTGCAGTTAGCAGAAGTCATTCTCTTGGGCTCCAGTCTTTGTTCCAAGAAACCTCTCACAAAACTGAATTCTCGCTCTGGCTTATCTCCCACACTGAGTACTTGAAGTATGACCACCACTCATTAGAAACATAATTAAAAAGACACAACACTAGATCCCCCCCCCCCCCAGCACATACAGATGAAAACCAATAATCCTTAATCTATTTGTTACCATAGCTACCATAGGATTTTTTTTTTTTTAATTTCAGTACAACTCTAGGTATTTCGTTTGGATTGTTGCTTGTAAATGAAAGTTGGAGACCTATAAATTTCTGTTAACTGTGTAGAAATGGGGAGACAGAAGAAAATGTTTCTCTTAATCACAATTATGGTTTATAAGATGCTTGTAAAGTTACTAAAATTGGTTAAATGCATCAGCCCATAAACCAATTTAAATGTCATTAAATTCATATAGAGTTTAAGGACACATATGCTAGTAATTCCCTTATTTACAGCAGGATGATAAATCAAGTGCACTCAGAACAATGCATGGGACAGAGACTATTCATCAGTGGCATACAGCTCCATACATGTAGAAACACCTAGACTATGTGACCACTCATATACACGCATATCAACCAGCCTTTAAAAGTATTCACCTGTGCATTACAGGGCAACGATTTCACCAGGTGCCAGGATGAGCAATCTGTAAAATTGTTCATCATCCCCCTAAGAGTGAAAAAAGTTACCTTTACACTCCCCCAATATCATTTTTTAAAACATCAGGAATGAAGTGGACGAATTAAATCTGCCATTCATCCTAAACCGAAATAATTCCTTAAATCTGCTCTCCTAGGGCTGAGCTGGACAGAAGACCACACAGCAAGGGGAGGAACTCTGTAGGGACCAGACAGATGACTTTAAAGAGACTGAAATTAGGGTAAATACAGCTGTAACCAGGACAGATCTGTCACTGCAAGAGGTGTCCAAATCCCGGCGAGGCTCGGCTGATGAGAGGCTGGAGCCTGTATCAGTGGAGCCTGACTGTCCCTGAGCTGACGAAGTGGAAGTTTCGCGGGCAGAAGCAGCAAGGCGTCCTCAACGGTCCGGTCCCTCCAGCGCCGAGGTCTCGCCTAATACTACATAAATACCTGCGTCCACGATTCGCCCCGGGCGCGCCGCGGCGCCAGCACCGTAGGGCAGGGGAGCGTTTGCAGAGCAGCAGGGATGGTAAAGGCGGCGGCTCCTTACCCATCAGCATCCCCAGAGACCCGCCAACTGACCCCGCCTGCGATTGGGTTCCAGAGCCCAGGAAAGACAACTGGCTTCTCGACTGGTGGACCCAGGCATCCGAGACTTGCTCTCTGAGCCCACCCCTCCTCGGTGACGGTTGGACGCAGGCAGGCAGCGCGTCCCCGCCTTCCCCAGCCAACGCAGACCCGACCTGCCCCCGGAGCAGCCTCGGACCTGCCCCGGCTCTCGGGCCCCGGGCGAGTGCGCCCCTCCCTCGGGGCCCGGGGCCCGCGCTGCCCAGCGCCCGCACCCGCGCGGCTACCGCAGAAAACCCTCGCGCTCTCGGCCCGCTCCAGGCCACGGAGACACGGACGTGAGCCCTCGGCCACCCTGCACCCCCGCCGGGGTCGGGGCGCGCGTCCACACTCCCACATTGCACACCTCGGGGTCCACACTATCCCACACATAAACAACCCCTCCCCACCCTACACCACGTCCTCGTCCCTTCACCATCCCCGTGGGCTCTCTTTTCGGCGCCCCCCAAAAACGCTGGCACCCATAAGGTGTTAAGGGAAGGGGGGTCACAACAAGGTCTGTGCGGGTTCCCTCCTCATGGTTTTTCAAGCTCCTCCACCTCGAAAGTTACTTCGGATGGAGTGAAGAGACCTGGTCCCCAAATGCGGGGTCTGCGGACGCGAATCGGCAAAACCCCAACCCGGCTTCCGGCTGCACAGAAGCGCGCGCCTCCCCAAAGGGCACGGCGCGCGGCCGCCCCCGGGGTCCAGTCCTTCGGTGCCTCCTCCTGGCCCCCAGCCCGGCGCGGGCCCTGGGCCGCTCTGGGGAGGTGGCCTGGAGAGGAACGCGCACTGCCGGGCCCAGCCAGGAGGGTGCCGCGGCCGGGGTCACACTTGCCTCCAGCACCCCCGACCATCGCGACATTGGCCCTGGGCAGCCCCAGCGCATACACACCCGGGGGCAGGAAGTTTTTTTTTCCCCTCTTTCCCCCCTTGGAGCAGCGCAGGCGCAAGGGCTCCTGCAGCCTTGCGAGTCCAGACGCGGGAGGCTCCTGCCGCCGCAGCCGCCGCCGCCGCCGCCGCGGGAGCCGAGCCCAGCGTTCCGGGTTCTCGGGCCCCGCTCCCAAGCCCGGCCCGGCCCCGCGCAGCCTCCAGGACCCAGGGTCCCCGGCGCCGCATCCTTGGCGCCCTAGCCTGGCTCTTACCTCCGGCCGCGCCGCTCCGGCCCCGGCCCGACGCGCAGAGAGCCGGGGGTCGCGGGTGGGCGCAGGAGTGCTAATGGATAGGGGACGGCGCCGGCGGGTAGCGGTAGCTGGGGCCGCTCGGGTCCTGGCCGGGAGAAACGGATCCAGGTCCACCTCCTCGCGTTCCTGCTCTCCGTCGTCTCCCCCTTTTCCTTCTCCTCCTC